TTCCTTCCCACCCTTTTTCCTATACGAAAAGGATGGGAAGGGAACGCGACTTTCACGGTGCAGGAAACGCATAGGAAGGGGAGATATCCTCTTTATGTGCGTTTTCTCATCCGTCGATTAAGGGTAGGCAACGCATCTGCAATTGCGGCGGATGTCTATGGACAGCGGTCGTTTGTCATTTTGGCAGTTTCAGGTGGCCGCTTACTCGTTTGCCACCTTATAATATATAAAAAAATAAATGAACTTTTTGTGATCGTAATGGCCGCCATGTAAGGCATGACGTGACTTTCGGCGTTGGATCAAAACCAATGGTATCTAGTACTTCATTCGTAGAATTAAAAAAAATGACTGCGTTTATTTAACAGGTGTTCGATGACGTCATCGATATGCTTTCTGAGAATCAACTTATTGATGTTCTTATGAGGTTGTGAAAGGGCTAAGGTGTAAAATATTCCAAAATACTATAGATAAATTTTGTTATTTTGAGTTACTTGTATTGTATTGTAGTCTAATATTATAAAAAAAAAACATACAGACGAATTAAGTACCTCCTTCTTTTGGGAAGTCGGTCAAAAAGCGAAAGTCTAGACGGATGAACGGATTTTAAGAAATCGAGGATAGTCTGGGAAAAATCATAGGTTACTTACTTAAAAACTAGCAATATTGTAGAGAAGGTTTAGATGGATATGTGTTTGTTAGTTTGTAGCCTAAATTGTTGAACGGATCTCTATGAAAGACATATAGATGATAGTCTGGAAGAACACATAGGCATAAGCGGACGGAGTCGCGGGGGAAAGCTAGTCTATGTATAAATGATATCCATAGGTTAGGTAGAGCGACCTTCGCCGGGTCATCGATCCATAGAGACTCCGCCCTCTGGCCTTCCCGCGCACTTCGCCCCGCGCAAACGAGGCTTTACTAGCTTTATGAAAATTTGAATTTAGAACGCGACCCAGAATTTAGTTTTAATAAATATGACGCCGCTTTTCATTTGTTTCGATAAAAGACTAACGTCAAATTCTGTTCATGGCCGCCATTGCCTTTTTGTGAAATCAGTTTTGTAAAGAGGTTATTTTTTTAAATTTACACAGGCCGAGTCGTGATATTATAAATGAGAAAATTCGGATATAACTTTAGAACGATCGAATGAAATTTAATAAGGATAGATAGTCTGGAATAGCGCATAGACTAAGTTTTTTTAAATTCCACGCAGATAGGCGAAGAAGCTTTAAAGGTTTCATAACTTTTAGTTTACATTTCTCTTTAGAAATTATGCCTTAAGTACTCGAAAATTAAGTTTAAAGTTGTTTGCGATAACGTGTATGCTTTTACAACACCCACTTGCGTGGTAGTTTACAAACCATTTCACTCCATTAGCGAGAATATCGGGTTATAGAAATAACTTCTTTAGAGTACGTTAAGGAGAGTTACTTGACTGTTTTTTAAGTATTTCTGCTGAAGGAAATAATAAAAAAATATGTTTTCTTAGAGTTAAAAAAAATCATTTAAAAGGTAGCATTTTTCCTACGGATTATTTCTTCATTTTGCATCTATACTATTATAATAAAGCGTACACACACTTCTTTGTTGCCTAACATGTCAGCAATTACAGCATATTTTTGAATAATTATTTCTTTAATAAAAAGCCCTACACTTACGTCACGCTCTAGGCTATGTATACGTCATTAAACTTAGGTAAATATTTTGGTTAAAAACCCTAATGTGGAAAGAGGCCATACGATACGAGCTGCCAACATTAAGCAAGCAAGGTTATTATGGTAACGGTAATATTGACATTTGCAATCGATAATTTGACAAATTTGAACAATAAAATAAAGTTTTTTATTATTTATGCGGATGAAACCGTACAGGAACAGCTAGTCTACAATATTTTTCGACATATATTGTATAATGATATATTAGTTACGTCATAACTTGACAGATAACAAATGATAATTAAATATGGAAATAAATATCTACTTTTATATTTTTATTTTTATATAGACTTTCTAAACGTTGTGATAAGTGTTTACAATATGTACTCTTTGATATATATCTATCAGATTAATATCTGAATTCACTCTCTTCTCTAGCATATAGCTTGCTTATGTAGCCATCAATTTCATTGCTTTCTTGTTTATGTTATTACTAGATTTCGCCCGCGACTCCGCCTGGAATTAAAAAAAGTAAGTAGTAATGTTTCTTTCAGATTATACTCTACATCTGTGTAAAATTTCATCGACATCTGTTCAGTAGTTTAGGCTACAAACTCAAGAAACATCCATCTAAACTTTCGCATTTTACTTATCTTGCTAATATTGTAAATGTTAAAGTTTAGATAGATGGATGTTTGTTAGAGTTTGTAGCCTAAACTGCTGAACGGATTTCGATGAAATTTGGTATATATGTAGAGGATAGTCTGGAAGAACACATAGGCTACTCACTTTTGTTTTTTTTATCACGCAGACGTAGTCGCGGGCGACAGCTAGTTTATAATATTAATAAGATTAGTAAGATATCTTCATTTGTCCGTCACTAGCGTCCTAGGCAGTTAGCCTATCCCCTAGAGAATCGTTAAATGTAAAACTGATATAAACCTACTTCGAAAAAGGTCTTATTAATGGTAGATGCCCTAGACATAACTAGGTCATCGGCTAGCGTCTATAATGTCCTTACTATGCTCACCTTTTACTCAATTTGTCCATACTGAACCCTACAGATTACAAAAAGCAACTCGAAAACCCGTAGAGAAAATAAAAAAAGAAATGTGTATTGACACGTCAAACATGGTCGCGCGGTCGGTAGCCATATTGTGAGTAAACGTGAAATAAAATGGCCGACGCTATAGAACTTTTTCCTAAGAATTTGGACGTTTTGTTTATAGAATATAGTAAGATATTTCTATCGATGGTCAAATATTTATTGAAAAATATCGTGCACGTGGCGAAAGAAACCTGCTTCCCGAGTGCATATGCGATAGAGCATAGAGCAATGTTTTTTTAAGTCAAAGATTTTATAAGACGTGACATTTAAGGGTTAGAGATAACCCAGGTGACGGTGTGAAGTGAGAATTTTGTTCGCGACTTAATCTGCGTAGATTTAAAAGAAAACTTACGTTCGGTCAAGAGGTTTGTTCGAATCTGCTTTAGGATCGACTTCACTAGTACTAACTTCGAAATATGAAAATTAAAAATTACATAAAAGTGTTAAAACAAGCTTTTCAATTCAAAATACGTTAATAACTAATCTCATATAGGAAATAGAATGAAAAGGCTTCACCTTTTACACACATTCGATACAATAGTTTACGTGTTGACGTAAAAAATTGACCATAAAATTACGTAGGTCGGTAAAATTTCGGCAAATCACTAATAAACCTAGCTGGCAACCATTCAATCCCCTCTAATGGCCGATTCGTGACTACCAAAATGCATTACGTCGCAATAAAAACAAATATAGAAACTACGAGCAACAAATAAAATGGAAAAAATGTGAAAAAGCACCGCCATTTTGTTTGACGCGTGACGGCGCGCGCGCACGTATAGACACACTAAATCTTTATAGATCGTTTTCGTGCGTGATGTTGGCTGCATTTTTTCGAAGGTTGGCGGGTTTTGTTTTTTTTTTGGGTGATTTAGACAAATTATGATCAACGATCAGCCAGAAGTTAACCTTTTTTTAGATGACCAACCCCAGAAAGGGTGGAACTAAACGAAATAAAAACAGGTGCGTTGTATAAATAAAATAGGTAAATTAGGTATTTTGTAAGATTTAACTTTTTAAATCTATTCTAGAACATTCATTATTAGTTTTTTTAGAAGGTTCAGTTTAAACTGTCAGATCCTAACTGAAAATACCTACATTTTAGTACAACGTTAAATAAAGGCCATAGACAACCCTGCTAAATCTATTACTGGTGGTCTGTAACTAGTTTGCCGTGTTAGTAAAACCTTTTTGTAAAACAACTGTTTAAACACAAGATGAATAGTTAAACAACTACAAAGTAACAGTTTAGTTGCCATTAGTTTATGGAAAATCGCGAACGCTTGCGTTGTACGTGCTCCGCGCGCACCGGTCTCCCTGTTTACGCGCGGGGGCACGTAATGGCGGACGGTTTTCGCGCCAATATCGATTACGCTACATTGTTGCTAGCATGGCCACTTACTAACTTGGCGGGTTACTTATGATCCGTGCACGTTTTTAATTAGATATAGAAATAATTTTATGGTACACACTAGTGTAAAAAGACGCAGACGACAACTATGTCGCCTGCGCCTTTTCATCGTGGAATTAAATAGCCTATAATGTCGAAAAATAGATCAGCTATTGCAGAGATTATGTGGAACAAGCGCAAGGTTGCAGACAGAAACTCATACAAAAATAAAACCGATTTTCGTTATCACAGTATAGCAAAACAAATACACTAAGTTCGCTAAATATGTTTTTTTTTTACATAAACAACACTACCATTTTGATTACTGTAAACTGTAACTATAAATATAGGTTATTATTAAATTACATATGCACTATGAGTCAGCAGTTATAATCTGAATTCACTCCATTTCTACAGAATCCGTAATGATTCCTTTGCCTTTTAAAATTAAAAATAAAACTTATTAAAAAATAAACGAAATATCATAAACAGCCAGTGTTTAACAATTACACAAATCTCACGCAACCGGCCAGATGTTCTGTGCGTGGATTACATCCCCCGAGTGCAATAATTCTTGTTCTCGACCTAAACACGCCCGTAATCCTTTAATCCCGCTGCAACGGAACCCGACGTTGTATTGCAACAAAAAACATGCCATTTAATAAATTGCCTCTTCCCGTAAATTACTCTATGTTTTTACACCTTTGCTCTATTGACAGCTGTCAAAATAAATTGTCTTCGGAAGAATTATGACATTTATATCTTAATTTTACAATTACTTAAAGCAGTTTAAAAAAAACTAAAGTTGCTGTTGATGAAATTGCTTGGATGTATGGATGTTTGTAACTCCATAACTGTCGACGGATCAGGGTAAAATTAATGGTCTGTTTAGGTAAAGAGCACATAAGCTATTAGCCTAATTTGAACCGATTTCTATGTTTGTCATAGATGAACAGGATAGTCTGAATAACATAGGCAATACCTATTTTTACGCGGACAGAGATGCGTGGTCAAGCAATAAGTAATAAATATCATACTGGCCGCCAAGAAAGCCATAGAAAATGTTTTTGTAATTATGGAACGTAATTCGAAAGTAGTGAAAAATGTGACGTGAGCGATGTAACAACATTTTATTTGTATTAAATGCCTTTTTATCAATTTATGTGAATAGTTTGTGTGTTTTATCATTAAATAAAAAAAGAATTTATCAATGGTACTAGTTTACATTTATTTAATGCGGGCGAAAGCTAGTAAATTTATGTTTTCAAAGATAGTCAATATGATGTAGAGAGTGCATTTTTGGGTGAATCTTACCGGTATCGATGCTGAAAATTTCCTTCTGTAGCGACTACTTAAAACCGCCTCGACAGTAAAAAACAGTTTGACAGCTAAAAATAAAATGTTATTTTACTGTAACTTATAATGATCCTGTCCAAAGTAATAGATTTAATTTGCATTTATTGAGTAAACACCATTGTCATAATTTCCCGCCCAAACAAAAGAACACCGAAGTTCTGTCATTCATCGCGCCAAAGACAATGTCATTACCAGATCTGTTAACTTAATAATAACCTCTAAAATAACTGTAATAAAGTCCAAAATCGAAATAAAATTGATGAATATTGTTTGAAATATATGCAAAAAAATTGCCTTGTGTCTATTTGTTTTATTTTCTAGGCGTGGGAAGAACATCGGATATTACTATGAATTACTACAGGTAGTTGGAACTTGTTAATGTAAACGTAAAATAACAGTCAAAAATGAGAAAACAAGCATGACATTTTAAAGAACAGAGTAAAGGTACCGTTATTAAAATGTTTTAATGAGATTTTGACGTTGCAGGGTTTATTTGAACCTTATAATCATATCAGCTTTTGCTTGTTGCGTGGAATGAAAAAATAAAAGTGAGTAGCCTATGTGTTCTTCCAGACTATCCTCTACATCTATACCAAATTTCATCGAGATCCGTTCAACAGTTTAGGCTACAAACTCTAACAAAAATCCATCCAAACTTTAACATATTTCATACTTTTATACTAATATTTTAAATGTGAAAGTTAGATGGATGGATGGATGTTTGTTTAAGTTTGTAGCCTAAACGGCTGCACAGATTTCGATGAGATTTGGTATGGATGTAGAGGATAGTCTGGAAGAAAACAAAGGCTACTCACTTTTGTTTTTGTTTTTCTAATTTTACGCGGACGGAGTCGCGGGGGTAAGCTAGTTTATAGGAGTAAGATAACAGTTAAAGAATCTATTGTATCTTACCATTCACGTTAAACTCAAACATTGACATAGATACAAAATTAAATTAATAATTTTTATTCAACATTCCCTCATTCGGTAGGTAAAAATGATTCACCAACTTGACTTTCCCACGATGTGAACGCAAATTGTTGAAAGATTACCATGAATGAGACTGCAGGTGTCCACTACGTTGTAAAAAAATACTAATAAACAAAACGTAGTGAAACCTGCCAGAGACACGTGCGTCCTTGCGGCCAGAGACAATAGCATTATCGCACCTAGCCTTTGCCCATCCCCGAAAAAAAAAGAAACAATACCGTAGATATTGACTTTGGACGCAAAAATTTACAATCCTGTTACCCGTTCCCACGCGTTTTGTGAATAATTTTAAAACACTGTTTATAACCTGTTAAATTATACACGTAACTATTTTTATAATAGACAAAATCTAGTCAAAATTAAAACGTTACAAATGCCTACCTTTAGATATAAAATAGAAAAGTAGATATGAAAGGAAATTTTTTTGTAATTAACTTCTAAATTCTCTGATATCCTGGTACTTGCTGTACATTTGCAGATACTGTTTTCCTGTTTTTTGCTGCATTTACACATAGAGGTTTTATCTACATTTTCGTATTAAAATTGACCAGGAATATAAAAATGGTCGCCATATCGCGGTAACTTTGCGAACCGCCTTTCCTCCTCTAAATAACTCTATCATACGTCATCTCAGTCACTCCCTGCTTGATAATGTCACCTTTCACACAATACATCTCTTTCTATGTCTACCTCTAACGGTGTACCACACTCAGAATTAATATCCTTCTTGTAACATGCGATTCATCTCTCATAACATGCCCCCATGCTAACCTTTAACTCCTTACCTTCTCTACTACTGGGGCTACTCTCAAACTTCCTTTAACACTCTTGTCTACGTTAAATCAAAGTTACGAAAGATGGATGGATGTTTGTTAGCGTTTGTAGCCTAAACGGCTGAACGGATCTCCATGAAATTTGGCACAGGTTTAGAGCATAGTCTGGAAGAACACATAAGCTTTTTATCCCGGGAATAGTTACAGTTCCCGTGGTATTCATTAATTTAGTTTTTTAATGTTTAGCTAGTGTTCTATACAATCCATTTCAATAATCAAATATTCAAGTGTTAAAATCTAATACGCTTTACGCACCCTCTAAAACAATACAAGCATGCGCTCACCTATTCAGTATGAAGTATGGGGCCACCGGGTTTTCAACCCGGATCCTTTGGATTAGAACGCACGTGTGGCATGTTTTTGTTCGATGGGAACTTAATCTATGTCATTCAAGTACTAGGAACATCCTCCGGCTTTGTTTCCTTGCTCTTGGATCTTTTATGTAACATTTTTTTGTAATGTAACAATACTGTCTTAATTGAGTAATTAAAGTATTATTTTTAATCATTATTTTGTAGAAACGGTAGAGGAATATCAACAATAATGGGATGTGTGGAAGATAATATTCTAGAGAACGAGATGTACAGAAGGGTACATAATTTGTACACATGTAGGGTAAAGGACAGGAAAATGTTCTGGTAGACCAACAAGAAATAAGATTAAAAATCTATACTTATATTATAAAGAGGAGAGATTTGTATTTTTGTTTGTATCTCAAAATATCATTCACCATTAAAAAACTACGTTATAAGTAAGCAACATAGGCTATATTTTGCATAATCTTTTAAAAATCACGCGGGCGAAGACGCGAGCAAATAAAGTTAGCGCTAAATAAAGTTAGCGAAACACAAAATGACTATGTTTCTAATTTCTAATGTGTTTAAATTCAACTAAAAGATCTTTGTACAAACACGTGTTGTACAAATAAAAAACAAACAAAATCCATTCAAATGCTCGCAAAAGATAATCTTAAGCACTCGAGATTCGAATTTCGAATTGTAATTTTTTCCGCCGCTCAAATTGCAACTGTTCTTTTGATATTCAGCCAAGATGGCTGATATGCAAATACGATTCGACGTCTGTGGTTTTATTGACTTTGGTCTTTTGTGATTATAACATTAAGTGTGACCACGCATAATTATTATATTTTATGATCTCTCGAACGTTGATAATCATTCTTTGATGAGTTTCCGAACGGGGAAATACAAAAGAGGTTTTTATGTTACGATCATAGTATCTGTGTTTATTATGTATCTTCAGTATCGTATTTCATGGTATTTATCGTTTTAAAAAGTTAACTTAACAGTTTCAGTAAGTCTGAAATATTAATTTATATGAAGTTTATTATAACGCTGGCCACTAATAAATAAATCAGCCATTAATCACATTGAAATTAAAAATATATATGAATTTCTAAACATCTCAAGTAACAACAAACAACTCAATCTGTTAATCTCCAAATATATTTGTCATTAACAATAACCTTAAGACCGTTATAAGATTATCATGTGACAATAGGAATCAATCGAATCGAATGTCAAACAGATACGGGCGCTATTCTGATGCAGTTACATCCCTATCTAATGGTAGGGATGTGGTAATGATAGTAAAACTCATATCGATAAACTGTTGACCAACGAAGGGATCAGTCTTCCATAAATTCTCATAACGTTTGCTAGGATGATTTCTAAGTAATTGTCCATTTGTATATGGTTTTTTTCAATTTTTATTATAATTATCAGTTTGATTACTTTCTTTTATTTCTTCACGCGCTCCTCCTTGCTGCTCCTCGTCCTTTTCATGTACACAATATATTTTACCTAATAAATAATATAAATAGTTTAAATTCTAATAAGCTGTAGGTCGGGTTATTGCTGTGACTATATCTACTCAAAAATCTCCTAAAATAAGTGTAGAGAATAATCAAAATCAATAAGAACTTGCATTCACACGGAAATAATGTATCAAATAATCTAAATTATATTAATTATCAAATTACATTAACTGAAAAATTCAAATTATCACAAATTTTCTTCATTTCAATGACATTTGTAACATTGTTATACTTCTTTGTGCAATATTCTCAGTCGTGCAATATCGATATTTCAATAGTACATCCCTTACCCACGTTCTCTATTGTTATGTACCTGTCACTTGTTTTTTTTTTTTCGGAAACGGACATCAGGAAACGAAGGTGATTTAAGCCAGTAACTATTTGAACCTGTTAGTGTAAGGTGTCAACCTCTTCGGTTGTTTTATTGTAAATTGCACAAATAAAACTGCAAAGTGGAGTGATGCTTTAATATTTTTTAATTTAAATTTAAAATGAAATATCCGTGCAAGAGAAGATTCAATGTGTATACAGATTTTGAAATGGATTTCCGTGAGTAAATTAATTTGTGTCTGATATATTTTTATTAAATGTAAGTTTTATCGAAAGATTTTTCAATTGCTTTACAAGCTACCTACAAAAAGCAAGCTTAATAAAAATTTAAATTGCCTCGCAATGGACCTTGTCCATAAAAACAGTTATCTGAAACAAAGTTTTGATTCGTTGTAGCGTAAATTAGTTTATTAAAAATAATTAAATCAGTTTGCACTTACCCTATACGGCGTTAGTCGTATACGTTGCCATTAAATACTTAAAAAAAAAACCTTTTTTCTGAAACTTATTTGTTTCCGTTGAACTGTCAAAGTCATTCGAAATTTAAAAATCGATACCAATCAAAGGCGGGCTCTTATACGATAGTTTATTGCGACTATTGCCAGTTACAACTATAAATGGAAGCCATATGTTTTGTTTATTGTCGCGCGGTTTTAGCCGATAACAGGGGGGCGAGTCTCGTACATTTCTGTAAGCTGCCGTCATTTGTAAGTATTAAGGTTGAATAATTCATTATGTCGCTGTTGTTTTCCCGCCAGGAATTGACGGGTATATTTTTTAAATTCATGAGGCAAAGGTTGTGCTGAGAGCCTTCGTTGCGTTCCGTTTTATGCATGGCGCATCATCAGTGTTGTTAATGGAAATTTTTGGAATGTATAATTTTTTTACATAATATTTCGCGTGTATAGTACTTAATTATTCGTGGAATTAAACATGACAAACTAGAAAGATTTGGAATATAAAGAAAAACTTGATATTGTAACTAAATGTTTAATTTCCCAAAAAGTATGGATGAATTACTTGTAAAGTGTATAAAAATGGCTGATAGAGAAATATAGACGAGTAGACTGTGACGATAGTTCTAAGTTTCGGATTCTCAATAAAAACAATTAATTTCTATTCTACTCTACATATACTATTCAGTATAAAATCTACCACATAAAAGACAGATGAAGTGGATTCCATGTTTTGTCTGATAAGTGTGGAGTGTGCCTGCTTTTAGTTAATTTTAGCCTTCCCTTCTTATAAGAGTAGCTGTTGCTGCGGCCGTCGAAGTGGATTTAATAATAGTTTAAAATATAGCCTCTGTTACTGATAACGTAGCTTTTTAATTGTGAAAGAATTTTTATTACGAGTTATTCCAATTCATACAAAAATGTAAAAAACAAATCTTTCCTCTTTATTAGTACAGAAAACGGGAGCTTATATAAAAGGGAAATATTCACTTTCTGTTCACCCTGCTATCCACTAAAGGAAAGCCTCTACTTTTGCGGGTTGCCTATGAGCAGTATTCCTGCGTTTTCAAATGGACCTGCCACATTATGATGTAAACACTACTATAGAAGTGACACGAAATGGATTGTTAATAGACTTCTTCCTTCCAGCCTGCCGCAGGGAGCAGCGGCCGCTGTCAGTAGACGCCACTGCCATTATGAAGGAAAAGAGTAAAAATGCAGCTCGCTCCCGTCGGGAGAAAGAAAACTCGGAATTCCTTGAGCTGGCGAAACTCCTGCCGTTACCTTCAGCTATCACCTCGCAGCTTGACAAGGCGTCAGTAATCCGGCTGACGACGAGTTATCTAAAGATGAGGCAGGTTTTTCCTGACGGTAAGTACTAGACTGAATACAATAAATGCTATATTGTCTCTTTTGTATACATTTCATGAAAGCCTTGGCTCTTGTAGTAGGACATCACAGGAGCCAATTCCTTCCCCATTACTTCATTACAAATCATACAGGGCCTGTCCCACCACTGATAGAGGCTCAGGCTGTTAGATAAGGGAACAAAATCCGATATTTCTATCACGTGTTTTACACGTTGGATTGTTTTCAGACAATTTACAATTTGGTGGGACAGGCCCTTTGTGTCTACGTAAAGAAATACATTGCAATTAGATAGTGATTTTGAAGATATAGAGTATAGTAGAATGCAGTACAACAGTAAAACGCTTGTGAAGTCCTTCATTGTTGTACTGGTCGACACAGGGCATAGTTAAAAATTAATTTAAATTTCTTAACCAGGATTTAGGATTTAAAATGTTTTACGACCTTTTAGTTATTTTGTCAAATGATCCTCTTAATTTGACTTCAAAAATACAAACAAACTATTTTAGAATTTTAAATGCTAATGCATTAAAAATTCTTATTCGATTTTCAAAATTCCGTATTCGATTTTCAAAATTGTGTATTCGATTTTTGAATATCGAATTCGATTTTTAAATTTCCGCAATCGTTAACATAGTCTTCATTCAGGTCTCGGTGACGCGTGGGGCGCAGCGCCGCCGCCATTACAGCCGCGAGAACTATCGATACGAGAGCTGGGTTCCCATTTACTCCAGACATTGGACGGTTTCATCTTCGTAGTGGCTCCTGACGGCAAGATCATGTATATTAGTGAAACAGCCTCTGTACATCTTGGATTAAGTCAGGTATGTGTCTAAATTATATGCCTGTTTGTTTTTTTTTACTCCAAGCGGTTCATGGTACTTTTGACCCCCTTGTAACTATGAGAGTCAAAATGGCGGGTGTACAATAACGAATTAAATTATACCACATTACAAAAATATGTACCTAAAATGTACTATTTAGTTCCTCGCTCAAAAAAAAAGGTACCCGACATTTTGACTGTCACTTGTAACTTCGTTGTGTAAAGATAGAAGGTTGACATTTTGAACATCAATAGATATACCAGAATTACTTAAGCGTTACGTCTTTTATTTATACTAAGTGTTTAACAGTTTATATATAGCTAGTTGATTTCTTCACTGTGTTAAGAATGAATGTGGATGGCTACAAAGGAAGAGGAAGACCGAAGAAAGTATGGATGGATTGTGTGAAAGAGAATATGCTTAAGAAAGGAGTGGATTCAGGTATGACGGCTGATAGAGATGTATGGAAGAGCAGCACATACTGTGCCGACCCTCCATAAGTGGTGATGATTTAGGACCTTATTGGAAGTGTTCGAATATCGGATTAACCGTTTTAGAAATATCTTTTGAAAACATCGATCTTTCTGAACATTAGCATTTATAATATTAGTGATATAGTAAATTTGAAAATAAACTTTCCTATAACTGATGTGAGAAGGGTGTGAATATCTTTACATATCGTTATTTTCTTCTACTATCCTATTTAATGAATGTCTGCCTTCTTTTCATAATTTGTTTCTAATGTCATTTAGATCCTGTATTGTTTCATAATTCCACCACAGGTGGAGCTGACCGGCAACTCTATATACGAGTACATCCACCAGCAGGACCACGAGGAGATGAGCGCAGTACTCAGCCTGCAGCATCCACACTCTTACTTAGGACATCAGATGCCCAGCTTAGGGTATGTTTAACTTTTTTTTGAATTCTTAATCTTGTTCAACTAATTATGAAGCTTTTTTGTGTTATTTCTCAAAAGTTTTTCAATAATTCTTTTAAAGACATTGGACCTTCCCCATATTACTAAAAGTTCATGAATTAACCGTGGATTTGAGTTTTTTTTTTTTCACTTTGCTTTGATATCTTGTAGTGACTAGGTCATAGTTAATTCTAGTCCACTGCAAGATTTCACATATCTTATTTTCTCCCAAAACACTTGCACATATCGGTAAAGAAATTCAAAGATATGTGTGACGTCAACCTGTAGTGGGCCAACGTTGTCTATGTCCTGGTCACTAACTTAGGGTAAGCTAAGTAGGGGAGCTCAGTAGGGAAGTATAGTAGTACAGTATAGCAATACGACTTAGGGTCCTTTAAGAAGCATATTCTTTCTCCTTATCCTACTCCCGTAGGGCGTAACAGGTTTTTGTCCTCCATAAAACTCTATCATACGTCATCTCAGTCATCACTCCCTTCTTGATTATGTCTACTTCTACCGGTGTACCTCCACACTCATAACTAACGTTCTCCTTGTAAGAAGCGATTCATCCCTCCTCATAACATGCCCATTTCATGCTTTTACTCCTTACCTTCTTTACCACTAGGGTTACTCAAACTTCCTCTAATATACTCATTTCGTATCTTATCCATTCGTGTTACCACACATCCATCCTCACATTAGGGTCCTTTAAGAAGCGAGTCTACCATATCGTTAAAGGCCGGCAACGCATCTGTAGTTCCTCTGGTGTTGCGGATGTCCATGGGCATCGTTGACCACCTCTGTCTCTTCTTCTCACCGCTCATTTGCCCCCCTAATAAGTATATTGAGCTGATGGTATAAGTTATTTGCCTACAGTTACCCAGTGGGGGGCACGTGGGGACCAACAGTGGACGTGGAGTGCGAACGCGCGTTCTTCATACGGATGAAATGTGTACTAGCGAAGAGAAACGCAGGACTCACCACATCTGGGTACAAGGTAAGTTAATGAAAAATATTTTATTATCATCATCACCAGCAGTATTTCCTCCACCGTAAAATCCACGCTCCCTTCCCGTCATTTTCTTATAAGAAAAAAGGTGGGAAATAAAGGGACTAAAGTTGGGCCTCCGACACCACACTCATCAGATGAAACGCGGAATAGCGCCCGCTTCACACTTCTGTTATATCCTTTTTATATGCGTTTTTTCTGTTGATTAAGAGTAGGCAACGCATTTGCAACTGCGGATTTCTAACAGCGGTAAGTTCGCCATTTTGGCGAATTCAGGCTGCTTGCTCGTTTGTTTAAATTTTAGACAACTTATTTAACTGATACTGTCGCTTTAAACTCAGAGCAACACTTCTCGTCAGGACTCAGGTTGCGCGCCAAAATACATACTTCTAGTGACATTGACAGCTGTCAGCTGTCAACTAGGGACCTGACGTTTATGCCGATAATCTAGAGTTGCGCCAACTCTACAGCACGGTACTAATTTTGTTCGTATCAATATATATATGTTGTCTGTGGGGTGTAAGGTGATCCACTGCTCGGGGTACCTGCGCGCGCGGCGCTTCGGCGAGGGCACGGCGGCGCTGGGGCTGGTGGCGGTGGGCCACTCGCTGCCGCCCTCCGCCGTCACCGAGCTCAAGCTGCACTCCAACATGTTCATGTTCCGCGCCTCGCTCGACATGCGCCTCATATTCCTCGACGCCAGGTATACCGTTTTATACTAATAAAAAATATAAATACTAATATAAACCGCGACTTTGTCCGAGTTGTATTACAAAACGTACGAACTATATAAATAACAAAAAGCTACGTATCCCACGGGAACTGGACATTTCTCGGGCATGAACCTTATCCCATGTTTTGATCTTATTTAAAGACTTTTTTTTAAGACTTTGTTTTAATCTGTGCCAAATTGCAATAAGATATGTAGAACCGTTGCAGAATGATCGAGTAAACATTAAAAAACTAAATTAATAAATCCCACGGGAACCGTAACTATTCCCGGGATAAAAAGTCTATGTGTTCTTCCAGACTATGCTCTAAACCTGTGCCAAATTTCATGGAGATCCGTTCAGCCGCAGGTTACAAACACTAACAAACATCCATCCATCGTAACATTCGCATTTATAATAATAATTTAATATTCGCAATGCAAATACATCATCTTTAAATCCGTTTTTTTTTTTCGATATTACATACAGACATTACAATTTTATTACTTGTACACTATATTTACTTTGAAAGAATATATAATTTTTTTAAAGAATTGAACATTTTAAAATATAAATGGCGCGAAACGGTAATGAATTTGAGAGTTATTAAAACTGTCCGTCGCCGACAACGGAGCGCGCGCAAAACAATTTCACACCGCGTCACGGCTCGTATACCATCGACAATCGATACATCGACATTATTTCTATCGATATCGATAAACGATGGTCCGATTCCTAGTTCAAATTTGAATTTAGAACTGCTTTTGATTCGTAATTTTTGTATTTCTTCATTCATTTGTTATTTAATTTCAAAACTGCTGCAACGTAAAATAAAGTTTTTATTTTTTATCTTTATTTTCACAATGAAGTTACTTTAATGATAAAATATAAATAGATAAAGTTAACATTTGGCCAACAAGCGACATATTTAATTTCCCAATCTGCAAAACGGCAATAACTACAATAAAGTTGCAGCCAATGACAAAATACGGAGTTAAAATAAATATGTCACGTACTAATTGATATCTACATTTACTAACGTATACTTAGTAATATATAATATAAATATTTCACTTTTAGTTATATTTCAATTCAAAAACCTCTTATATTTTTTTAAATTTTTACAAACAGAACACAGATGTACAAAAAATTGGCCTTTTGGCAGTCATATAAGAAATTAATATTGGTCTAAAGAAAGAAAGATCTCTTTTCGCTGTGACCTCTTTAGAGATAGCTGTTGTCTATACTAATATCATAAAGAGAAAAGATGTATTTTTGCATGTATTGAAATAACTCAAAAAGTATGAGGCCGATTTCAAAAATTCTTTCTCCATTAAAAAGCTAAGTTATCGGTGAGTAATCCGAGATATCTTTAGAGATGTATCTCTTTTCGTTTCGTTTCGTATTCGGACGAATATAAATACTGTTATCTATGGTTAAATTATAAGTTACTAGCTGGTGCCTGCGACTTCGTCCGCGTGGTATTAGAAAACATACGAACTATATAAATAACAAAAAGCTACGTATCCCTCGAGAACTGGACATTTCTCGAGGATGAACCTTATCCCATGTGTACTCCAGACTTTGTTTTGTATCTGTGACAAATTTCAATAAGATATGTTGAACCGTTTGCACAATGATCGAGTAAACACTAAAAAACTAAATTAATGAATCCCACAGGAACCGTAACTATTCCCGGGATAAAAAGTAGCCTATGTGTTCTTCCAGACTATGCTCTAAACCTGTGCCAAATTTCATGGAGATCCGTTCATCCGTTTAGGCTACAAACGCTAATAAACATCCATCCATCGTAACTTTCGCATTTATAATATTTATATGACATATGATTAAATAAAGTCGCAGTCCGTCACTATAGACATAGCGCGATAATAATTTATATTGCATTCCGCGGAACTTGCTACGAACAATACGAGTCCTGCTGCGTGTTTCCATAGCTCACGACACGAGTAATAACATCTTGTAATTATAAAAATAGATTTCCCCTGCAAATTAAAACAAACCAAAAGCTCGACTCTTTTCTAGATATATGCCAAATTTCATCGAGATCCGTTCAACATTTTAGGCTACAAACTCTAACAAACAGCCATATATCATAAACTTTCGCTCTTATTAATAGGATTGAGAATTTGAATCGGATTTCGAAAAGAACGTTAGTAACTGTAATGGAAAAAACACTTTAATAACTAATTAATAATTTAAGAGTATTTTTAGATTAAAAAAACGCATTAAAAAAATGTTAATTTAGTGTTAGGGACAAAGGCAAAAATATAACAAAAACAGATTGTTAGTTTGCACACTTGAAATATAATAAAAGTAAATTAATTTTTAATTTACTAATATGTTTCAAAACACGAATTTCGATCATCGAATTTCACACATCCGATATGTCGATAACAAATGTGTCGACGACAGTGGACACGAGCGCACCGCGTTTATAGGTTCACGCCAATCAGACGCACGTAAACCGCCCGGGCCCTCACAATGCCTCGCATTCGAAGAAACTGAGCATAGGCTTAGAGTAAGGCAACATACTATAATAAAAATTGTATAATATAACTGTTGCACGCGACTTCGTCCACATGGATATAAAATATGTTACTGATAACGTAGCTTTTTAATGGTGAAAGAATTTTTAAAACCGGTCCACCAGTTTTTGAATTATTTCGTTATATACCAAAGTCCAAAAGTACAAATCTTCCCTCTTTATTATATTAGTATGGAGTATGACGCAATTAAAAAAAATGTCTATGCATAATAAGTTTCTTCGCTATAAAATAACAAACATACAAACTTTCAATTTTATAGTTGACAGTTTTATTTCAAAGGAAGTTAATCAATTCTAACACTTTACAATAAAGTAAAAAAAATTACACAGATTATATATTAAAAATTTTAAATTCGAACGTTACCAATATGATAAACGTCTTGAAAATTACGTATTTTTTGCATTTTGTTAGTTATTTTTGTTATAATTAATTAAAAAACGAATTTTGTTATTTAGGTGTCCGTGCATACTTTACTTTTAATGTGGAAATATCAAGTGAATTTGACATCATAGTTGAATCGAATAATGATAAATCTTACTAATATTATAAATGCGAAAGTTTAGATGGATGTTTGTGAGTTTGTAGCCTAAACTGCTGAACAGACCTAGACGAAATTTGACACAGATGTAGAGGATAGTCTGGAAGAACACACAGACTACTTTTTTTTTAGATACCACGGGTACGGAGTCGCGTGCGAAAGCTAGTTATCAATAAATACATCGCAGATCTTTTATATGGTCACAGTTTTACGATGACTAAATTCTGACCACTCCTTAATACAAATTATTCACAGGAGGTCTAAAGATAAATAAGTAATCAATATCGACCGGCTACTGAGAACTTATCGTTTGAATATTGAGTTTCATCGCCGTGTTTTGAACTAAAACAAGATGGCGGACAAACGTCATCGCCCACAACCAAAATAAACAACTAAAATAATAATAAGAATAAAGTTGATTTTAAAGTATGCTTTACATTAAAATATGAAGTTATTAGATTTCGTCCGTAAATCTGTCCGCGTGGAATAAAAAGAAACAAAAATAGCCTATCTGTTCTTTCAAAATATTCTCAACATCTATGCCAAATTTCATCCAGATCCGTTCGGCTGTTTACTACAAACTCTAACAAACATCCATGTAACTAAACTTTCGCATTTATAATATTAGTTAGATTATTTGGTATTTTTTTTTATTTTTTTAATGCATTTTATTTTATGAAATCTATAAATTGATTTTTTAACATGTAAAGAATTTTTCTGCTCTTTACTGCCATAGTGAGCTAAGTTTATTTAATTATTCCTTTTTATTCTCTTTTAAAAATTTCGTAAACACACACTTCTTTGTTGCCTAAGATGACAGCAATTACAGCATATTTTTGAATAATTCTTTTTTAAACAAAAAGCCCTATACTTACGTCTCGCTTTAGGCTATGTATTTACAAGCCATTAAACTTAGGGGGTTAGTATTTTGGATAAAAACCCTAATGTGAGAAAGAGACCATAAGTCGCTGCCAACATCAAGGAAGCAAGGTTGTCATCATGTCATGTCATTTTGACATTTGTAATTGACAATTTGACACATGTAAATAATAAACTTCATTTTTCATAATTTTATGCAGATGAAGTCGCACGGGAACAGCTAGTGATACATACTTCTTTAATTACAGTTTATATTTTTATTTTAATAACCACTTTTTTTAAAAACACGTGCTTTGTTTTTACAAAAAAAATATCTTAAAAATCATCAATTTAGTAAAACAATACATTTAAAGCAATGTCAACCTTATTATTTATGCGATAAGATTTATATTGTCTTGTCAATAACGTCAAAGTCACGCTTTTATATCTACGTGACGGAGTGCGCTCAGCGGGAATCACTTCCGCGACGTCAGCACAGTGACGGCCTTGGAGTCGCTTGCGATGCAAATATTACGACTCATTAATAGTTTAATATCAAATTCACGTGGTTTACTTTTACTAATATGCAAAGTGGAAAGGTTTGTCGAATAAACTAAATAATTAAATGGATGTTTAAATAAAAAAAAATGACAAAATCGCGTGTACTAGCTAGTAGTTTTGCTGTCGTTAGTTTTAGGAAACTTTTACTACATTGAATTGAATTTGATTTCCTAGATAGTTATTACAAAATTTCGTAACCTTGAAAACCTGTTATATTTTGTAGAAAATCAAAATACTTATAACTTAAAACATTATCTGCGAATAAAGTTTATATTTGTGGTATTAGTACAAATAAATAGTCTAATTGTAACTATCATCTAAATATATCCTAATAATAGTAAAAAAAATGTAATTTGTATGTATTGAAATAACTCAAAAACTACTGGGCCGATTTTAAAAATTCTATCAGCAATAAATAGCCTAGCTATTACTGAGAAACTTAAATTATATTAACTACAATTTTTATTTCCGCGCGGACAAAGACGCGAGCAATACCTACTTAGTTATAATACTCTATATTGGCATTTCAATTCTCTGAATCATTATCTAATATTAGTACTCGTAGTTAGAACAACGCACAACCATATGGTATTCAAATACAATGCCAGTACGTGTTTTTCTATGTAAACAATCCAGTACATATATGTAATGTATCAGATATTTATGTCCTTTATATAGCGCGATGATTGAAATATTTCAATCGTATTTGGTTTATGAAGTAACTTGCTGTTCCCGTGCGGCTTCATCCGCATAAAATTATGAAAATTTTTATTTTATTGTTTACATGTGTCAAATTATCAATTGCAAATTTCGAAATGACATGACGATGCCAAACCATGGCAACCTTGCTTCCTTAATGTTGGCATTATGGTCTCTCTCCCACTTTAGGGTTTTTATCCAAAATGTTTACCTCCTAAGTTTGATGACGTGAAACTTTATAGACCGAAGCGTGACGTAAGTGTAGGGCTTTTTAAAAAGAAAGAATTATTAAAAAATATGCTATAATTGCTGACATCTTAAGCAATTACAGCATATTTTACACAAAGAAGTGTGTGTTTACGCTTTATTATAATAGTATAGATTTATGTGCAATCAGTTTGATAGTATTCTATATAATTATTACGCTATTACATATTTTTATCGGACATACTTTATGCTATTTCTCCTTACGTCCCATTTACACGGTGCCAGTTATGAAGCATAAATTACTTTGCTTAGTTTCAATTTATATAATACTGGCTGTTGCTCGCGACTTTAACCGCGTGATTAAAAAAAATCTAGCCTATGTTACTTATAGACCTTTCTAATGGTGAAAGAATTTTTGAAATCGCCCCAAGAGGTTTTAAGTTATTTCAATATATACAAAAATACAAACAAAAAATCTTTCGTCTTTATAATATTAGTATAGATTTATGCAACGGGCAAGAAACTTGTATCGTTTAATAATAAACATAACGATAGAGAAAAGGTTTAGTCGATATCTCTAGAACTACTCTACTCATCTCTTTGTCCCCAAAACGCTGGGGCGTCAGAAACAAAGGGTGTAACGGGGAGCGCGTCTGGTAATTGCCACTCGCTCTTCAGTATCGGATATCCTTGTGCTGTTTTATGAAGAAAAAAGTTTTCTTTTTTTTAATTAGTGGCCAGTTTACGTAGTGATTTTTTTTAATGGCCAGCTCTACGTGGACAATTAATATTTTATAAGTGGCCAGCTTTATGAAAGATTATTAGTACGTTTTCTTTTTTTTATCTCATTTACGGGAATGAAATTTAAAGCTCATATATTTATTTCAGAATAAAAAATATAAAGAGAGACAACCTTATTTTGTAAGAAAGGCTCTATCGCCGTTTAGTTTTGTCAGAAAATAAATAAAATCTACATGGATATAGATGACATTACTCGTCTTGAAAAGTACGACACGGAATTCATGTTTTTGACAGGGGGGCGCTAGTGACCTGACACAATTATAGTATACTAGCTTTCGCCCGCGACTCCGTCCGCGTAGAATTAATAAAAAACAAAAGCAAGTACCATGTGTTCTTCCAGAATATCCTCTACATCTATACCAAATTTCATAGAAATCGGTCCAGCCATTTAGGCTACAAATTCTAACAAACATCCATCTAAACTTTTGCATTTATAACATTAGTATGATACTGTCTGTATCCAATTACTTTTAAATCAATGCACAGAATTCCTCTTTGACAAAACACTTACCCCTGCTAAAGTAATGAACTTAAGTGTGCGTAATACGGAGGGTGGCCCATCAAAAAACAATATGCGATGTATTACCGGTTAATTGGCGGAAGTTTGGATTATTTTTTCTCTAAGAGTCAACAGTTTTTTCGGTTGACAGAACATTGTATTGCGAGGGTGGTGTTTTTATACTCTATGGTACTTCTCGCCTGTCAAAAGATTTCGCGCGTAATTTTCTGTGTGTATAGTACTGTAAAAAACTAACTAATGCTAGTGCCGTGTCCGTGATATTAAAGAAAGTAATAAAAAACATTGACTATGTTAATCATGGATAACGTAGCTTTTTAATGGTGAAAGAATTTTAAAAATCGGCCCAGTAGTTTTTGAGTTATTTCAATACATACAAAAATACAAATCTTATAGAAATTCGTACAGAAACATAAAACAATAACTACGATCTAACATTTATATACACTTATTGATGATTTATTCTAAAATACTAAAGGCCTGTCCCACCACTAGCTGATAGAGGCTCAGATAGCTTAAAAATTACGTCACTGTGAAATTAGGGAAAAAAATCCAATATTTCCATCACATATTTTACACGTCGGATTGTTATCAGACAATTTACAATTTGGTGGGACCGGCCCCCTTTAAAATTTAAAAAAATAATTTCACTAACTAATCTACGGTTGAGAAAGGCTGTTTATGACAATTATCCAAAGTTCCTATATCTACCAACTTAATAATAATAGTTGTATTTTTGTTTTCAGAGTGGCAACACTGACAGGCTACGAGCCCCAAGATCTGATAGAGAAGACGCTGTACCACTTCATACACGGCACTGATGTACTCCACATGAGATATTCGCATTGCACATGTAAGTAACTGAATTGTCAAACACAACCTTCCATTTGATTACCCACGACCATCTTGTCAAACTCGACCGTCAATTTGTCAAGTTCAACTTTCAACTATAGTGTGTCTAAATAATTTAGATTAGTTTGATAAATGACGCATATGAAGTATCGAATTCAATTTGTATGAAGGCAAATGTACTTAATAGACATGTATCGTAGTGACGAAACACGCAGCGAACAATTTTGAACTATCGATATTCGGTGTAAATAATTAGCAAACTCAATTAAAATTATTATTTTCTTATTTACTAATTTAGAGGATAATTTTAGTAATGAATAGAGTGTAGAGAATTTTATCGATGACAGAAATAATAGCGAAATCCAATTCGATTACGTACGGCTGTAGTAGTAATAGACATTTATTTACTTTCATTATTTGTTGTGGTCATTATTAATTTCAGAAAACAAATGTTTTTTTTTAATTCATAAGTAATAACTATAAAACTATCGATTCCAACTTCTATAAGAATAAAAATCGAAAATCGATAATATTCATGACTGATTTTACACAACACATCCCTACTAAATTTGAAATGAATTGTCAAACTAATCTAAATTATTTAGACACACTATACGTATGTGTTTTTGTCAAGTACTAGCTGTTGCTTGCGACTTCGCTGCATGCAATTTCTAAAATTGCAAAAATATACCCTATATTACTCAGTGATGACAGCTTAACCCTTAAATGCATATTGTTGCCAAAAGTCTACGAACAAAATTATAGTTTTTATTGAAACCATGACTTTTTTTTATTATTTTTACCTTAATCTGTGTCTCAAAGCCTATACTGAAATATTGATTTTATAATTTAATAAAAAATCATGCATTTAAGGGTTAACGGTGCAAGAAATTGAAATCTGCCCAGTTTTTGAGTTATTTCAATACATACAAAAATACAAATCTTTCCTCTTTATATTACTAGCTATTGCTATGCTTTGTCAGCATGAAAATAATAAAACATAACCTATGTTACTCACAGATAAACCTTTGTAATTGTTAAAGAGTTTAAATAAGCCCAGTAGTTTTTACGTCAATCAATATACAAAAAATAAACAAATCCTCTATAATATTAGTATAGATAATATAGTTTTAATTGGTGTTAGTGCTAGCGAAGGGACAAGTGACGTCACGGTACTACCGTTTCCTCACCAAGTCCGGGGGCTGGGTGTGGATGCAGAGCTACGCCACCATCGTGCACAACTCGCGCTCCTCCAGACCTCACTGCATCGTCTCCGTCAACTACGTGCTCAGGTGAATGAAAACTATAGCTGTCCTCCTCTAACACATGCAAAGCATGTCTCTTTCATTCCTTCATACATACTTTCTTTTGTTCTAAGAATTAATTGTGACATTTGAATCCTTTATTAAAGTGTGTGTATAACTTTTAAAAAACATAGACGAGGCATAATGTACTTTTTTCACGGGTACTTTCTCTGAAAGGTACTTTATCAGTTCTCAAGTTTAGTACCTCGTGTCCCTGTATGGATATATCATCATCATCACCAGCTCACTATACGTCCCCACCGAGGAGCTCGGAGCCTACCCTAAGGGTGACTAGGCCATCAACCACGCTGCACTGCGGGTTGGTTGACTTCACACATTTTGAATTTTTTCGCCGATATGTGCAGGTTGCATCACGATGTTTTCCTTCACCGTAAGAACGTCGGGTAAATTATGTACAAATGAAAATTCGAAAAATCGAAAATCACATTGGTACGGCGGGATCCGAACCCAAGACCTATACCTTGATTACAAGTCAAGTGTTGAAACCACTAAGCCACCGACGCTTCCTATATAATTGACATATAATATTACAAAATTATGAGCTGCAATTGAAAAAAAAAAGTGAACAACCTATGTTTTCTTTCAGACTATCCTCTACATCTATGCCAAATTTCATAAAAATCCGTTTAGCAGTTTAGGCTACAAACTCTAACAAACATCCATCTAAACTTTCGCATTTATAATATTAGTAAGATTTGATTTTGAGGAACAAATAGCGATGTTGAGATTATGTGAAAAATGTTTCAAGTAAATTATGCCTCTTCTATATATTTATTGAATCACTTTAGTACTTATAACTATATTAACTGAACTCAACTATCGCACAACTGTTATGCGATTGTGCAGTCAATACTGTTTAGTTGCACTAAAAATCGAGTAGTGTGCACCTCAATGTAAGAGAGTATTCCCAAACTACACTACTTTCAGTCCCCACTTAAAAAAGTTTCATCCGTCCCACATTTTAGTCCCACTATCATCAATAAGGTGACAGATGGAACTGTTACGAAATAAAATAAGTTCCAACTGTCCTTACGCCGCAAAAGGTGGGTCGGATAAAACTTTTTATTGTCATCTGTCCTCACGTGGGGACAGAGCGGGGTGACGGTTGGGCATAATCCCATAAAAGCTCATATGAATGCTACAAAGGAAGGAAGACCGAAGAAAGTATGGATTGTGTGAAAGAGGATATGCTTAAGGAGTGGTTTCAGATATGACTGATAGAGATGTATGGAAGAGCACATACTGTGCCGACCCTAAATAAGGGATAAGGGCAAGTGAATGAAGCTTATATAAATCAATACGACTAAACAGTTGTGCGATAGTCTCAAATGCTTTTATATCCTTGTATATCAGAAAATCAACTAAAGTCTATTGTTACAGTGATATCGAAGAGAAACATTTAATACTCAACATAGACCAAGGCCCTCCGAAAATCAACACCGAAGTACAAACACCAACACACATTACAAGCACTTCACCGCACATTCACACACGAAACACAGACAAAGTGATTTTAAACGAAAGTGATTTCAGTACAGATTCAAGTGGAGGTTATAACTATCCAGAATATACAATACCAGTACAATACGAGACACAAGATGAATATAACACACAGAACGGTCCATACGAATTATTCTACAACGAAAACTACACAGAACCAGAAATAATACCCAATTACGTATATCCACAAAACCAACGACCATTTTCAGCGAGTTCTTCAAGTTGCAGTTCAATAGAGAGTTCCGAAGTCAATCAGCAATATAATTATACCAATCTGATATCATTTTACGGTCATAATAGTCAGAATCAAAATGGCCGACCGATACAGGGTAATTTTGGAGGGAATTTCTCTAAAATGGCGCCCAGCCCTACAGTACAAGATGGCGGGTATACAAGCGTGATTGTTGACAATACGCAACAATTTCACCATCATGGTGGTGCTGTTAATGAATTTGTACATTAGTAAATATTTTAAAAAAGATCTGAATGTAGAACACTAAGAGTCTGAATGTGTAAAATATGTGATGGCAATATAGGATTTTGTTCATCTGACAGTTACATTTTTTAAGCTATCTGAGCCTCTATCAGCCAGATGCGGGACAGGCTAGAATGGTCCCTCCAAATTATATATTGTCCGATAACAATCGAAAGAGTAAAATATGTGACGGAAATATCGGATTTTGATCCCTTATCTGACAGTTACATTTTTAAGCTATCTGAGCCTCTATCAGTCAGAGGTGGGACAGGCCTTAACTTTAATAATCATGGGTTGGCACATGGAAAATAAGAGCGCTCTTTTGCCAGACGTGCCAACTGAACGACAGCAGTTTGCTTTGAGGTTACACCAAATATTAGTTTGGTCGTTGTCTTTCTTGCCAATGTAATATATATAGTAAGCTATAACGAGCCTAATTTAAGTCCCTTACACACCACCCTTTTCTTATAAGGAGAGGATGGGAAGGGGAAGTAGATTTGACGTTGGAGATGCATAGGAAGGGGAAATGTCCTTTTTATGTGCGTCTCCTCCGTCAATTAAGAGTTGGCAACGCTGCAATTGCGGATGTCTATGGGCAGCGGTCGCTTCGCCGTTTTGGCGGATTCAGGTTGGTCGGTTGCTCGTTTGCCATCTTATATTATAAAAAAAATATTCTACTTATTTTAAATTATATTTCTTTTATAGTAAATTAATTTTAAATACCCCAATGAGAGAGGTTATTATTTATTTCATTTTAATTATTTAGTAGATCTGAACTGAACATTGTTATACAAAAATGATTACATTTACGTACTAATTTTTACCCCAAATCTTGTTTATTTTACGACACTTAAGTTGGCACGCCAGATAAAAGGAATTGTTGATTTTGACGTGCCGACTTAATTCCCGGTAACTATTGACCGGTATAAAAAGTGTCTTCATATTGTGCCGGTTTATATTATTCCAGTCCAGTGATCTATATTCTAACAGGATCATTTTGAACACTGGAATGTCTGCGTGGATTCCAGTAAGAAATAATTTTTTTATAAGTTGCATTCCAGCGCTAATTTTGTTCACTGGACTGGAATGAAATAAACCGTAACGACTATAACATCTTGTATTAATATTATTGATTCGTGTGAATGTTTTTATAATAAAATTGATCCTGTCATGAAAATTGTGATAAAAAAAATTCAATGAAAATGTTACAAAACGACAATTGCATTTTCTTACCAAAAGTATTGTTCACTTGCCAAATGTATATAATTTTGTAAATATGCGTAAATTATTTCATATTCATAGGTAATATAAAATATATAAAATTTAAGCATAATCAAAAAAAAAATCTCTAAGTGGGCATAATTATATTTTGCTCGGATATTTTTAAGATTTGATATATCCGCTCGTAATCGTTTAAAAGAAATACGTAATATGAGTATTTAGTTTGGCATAGACCAAAATATCAAGCATAGACAATAATAGTTTAAAATATAATGTAAATAATATCTAGTATACTGATACATTGTACTAGTTTGTTTCAATAAGATAGATTAGTTTGATAAATGACACATATGAAGTATCGAATTAAATTTGTATGAAGGAAATGCCGTACTTAATAGACAGGTATCGTAGTGACGAAACTCGCAGCGAACAATTATGAACTATCGATATCGATATTCGGTTTAAATAATTATTGAACTCAACTATTTTTTTTATTAAATAATTTATAGAACAATTCTCGTATTCATTATAGTGTAGAGAATTTAGCGATGACAGTAATAATAGCGAAATCCAATTCGATTACGTACGGCTGTAGTAGTAATAAGCATTTATTTACTCTCATTATTTGATCATTATTAATTTGAGAAAACAGTGTTTTTTTATTCATAAGTTATAACTATGAATCTATCGATTCCGACTTCTATAAGAATAAAAATCGAAAATCGATAAGATTCATGACTGATTTTACACAACCCATCCCTACTAAATTGTCAAACTAATCTATCTTATTTAGACAAACTATAACGAAACAGTTTTACGGTTAAAAAATCCCTTTCCATTGTATAGGAATTATACTAGTCTGTAAATACATATTACTTAACAGAAATACACGTAAAAAAGCTGTATTTACTTACTATAATAAAAATCTCTTAGACTTAAATATATAAGATTTATGTACTTAATTTTAAATAATTATTTAAGCCCTAAACTATCAACCAAAGCGCATATTAATATAGTTTTTTTATAAGTTGCTGATATCTGGCTGTATGAACTTATTGTCTTTGCCCAAATGTATTAAAAAGTTGATTGTTATAATTCAATATTGTCATCCTTTTCTAGCAAACCTATATTCACGTTGCATGAAAAGGACAAATATATTTGTCATCTATAGAGGTTAATAGTTCTTGTGTGTATTAGGTATTGTGTATTTGGCGCGTTTTGAACAAACAAATTGTGATATCCCAAACATATTATTTAAAATACGAAACAATTAAATGCAATGAAAAATCTGAATATTCTTTTAAATCATCTTGTGTAAGTTATTTTGTTTTATGTATTATTAAATAACCCTACTGTATATATTGCACTATATTGCTGAACATTACGAATCAAACCGTACACTGAAAATAAAATATACCACCGATACAGTTTCATTTGTTTAATTAAACAAATATAATAAATCACACACAATTCTCGATGAAGTTGCACTACTCCACGCTAGATGGCGCTTAATTATAATTTATAAATCGTCAATCACTTAAATTATTTTAAAAGACGACATCTATGTTCAATGTTTGTAAACTATATAAACAGCCAAAACCGTTTTCCTCATTTCGTTTTTGTTTTTCTACACATACAGTATTCTGTATAGTTAAAACAATTGTTTGTAGTTAATATTAATCGGATTTATTTTAAACATGGGTTGAAATTTACATTACTATCATAATAAAGCGTAAACACACACTTCTTTGTTGACTAAGATGTCAGCAATTACAGCATATTTTTGAATAATTATTTTTTTAATAAAAAGCCCTACACTTACGTCACGCTTTAGGCTATATATTTTCACGCCATTAAACTTAGGGGGTATATATTTTGGATAAAAACCCTAATGTGGGAGAGAGACCATAAGTTGCTGCCAACATTATGGAAGCAAGATTGCCAAGGTCATGTCATGTCATATTGACATTTGCTATTGATAATTTGACATAATTTCATGCGGATGAAGCTGCACGGGAACAGCTAACTTAAGATAAACTTTGTAAAGAGGGAACAGGGACAAAACCGAACAGATACAAAACAACAAAAATGCTATTGCATTTCATTAATTTACTTTATTGCATTATAATACGTAATATTTATATTTAATACAAAGTAGTACATAAATGATCAAAACAAATATTTGCAAACTTTAAAAAGAAATTAAAAACAAAATGACCTGTCAGTGTCAAATGTAATCTTCAGATTAAAAAATAAAAATAATCGATGTTACATATTCTCGAGTCGTTTCGATCTCATTTAAAACGAGTTTCGCGGTTTTTTTATCTGTAGGGACGCGGCAATAACCTGGAATGTTGTGCTGAACATGTTCGCGGGCTTTTTATTTGTTTTTAAATCTAAAATTATTATAGCATAGAGGTCGTGGAGCCGTGATTACGTTGCTAGGGTGTTTTTTTCTGTAATTATAAAGTCTGGATACAACCATAAAATATAACTAATGTATCGTCAGATTTTTAAAATTCATTGAACATATATTGAAATTCAATGAAATTGAGAAATTTTATAAGCAATGCCATTTATCATATTATCTATGGAATTATTTTGGCAACTTTAAATTGATACAAACATGTCTGGTTTTCAACTTTTTAAAGATTTTCTTTAGATTGGTTTGTTATAATTTAATACCTATCTTACTAATATTATAAATTAGATGGATGGATGTTTGTTAGAGTTTGTAGCCTAAACGGTTGAACGGACCACGATGAAATTTGGCATAGGATTGTCAGAGGCAGAAGATAGTCTGGAAGAACACATAGTCTACTTACCTTTCTTTTTTTAATTAAACGCGGACGGAGTCGCGAGCGAAAGCTAGTATACACATAATTCATTTCGTATTCTCTCTCATAAGGAAAATCAACTAAAAGCCATAAACAATGTTTACAATTCTTTTACGTATGAGGAAAGAGGAATAGATTTACATCTCGGTGAATCCCTGAGATTACTTGTATCTATGCTAGATTTTATTTACAGGTTAAGACTTGACCTAATAATATCTATTTATTATCCTATTTAACTAGAATCGTTAGAATTACGTAAATAACTTTGTACTGTACTACTTTTTATAGCAAATATCACGAACAAATTTGCAATTTAAGGAAAAAGTAAAAATAACTTGGTCTGATTTTTAGTTTCACGCGGGAGATGTCGCGAGCAATCTATCTATACTATAATCATAAAGCGTAAACCCACACTTCTTTGTTGCCTCAGATGTCAACAATTACAGCATATTTTTGAATAATTCTTCTTTAATAAAAAGCCCTATACTCGTACTTACGTCACGCTTTAGGCTATATAAACTTAAGGGGTAAATTTATTGGATAAATACCCTAATGTGGGAAAGAGACCATAAGTTGCTGCCAACATCAAGAACGAAAGATTGCTAAGATTTGGCATGTCATGTCATTTTGACATTTGCAATTGAGAATTTGACAAATCTAAACAATAAAATAAAGTTTTTATAATTTCACGCGGATGATTCCGCACGCGAACAGCTACTAGATACTAATATAAAGAGGAAAGATTTGTATTTTTGTATGTATTGATACAATTCTAAAACAAGTGGGCCGATTTCAAAAATTCTTTCATCATTAAAAAGCTATGTTATCAGTGAGTAACATAGGATACATTTTTATTCCAGGTGTATGAAGTTTCAAGCAACATTAGTAATGAGAGAAGGGAATTTACCTTCAATTGCGACAATTCTATACGTAATTTTAAATGACTAATAATTAGGTCACATACTTGTATTAGAAAATTTTCCTAACAATGAGTGTTGTGTTTGTTTTTTAAAAAACAAATCTGTCATTTTATTGCATCAGGAATTATAAGACAGGTTAATCCATTAGTGTTTGATTCAATAAAGTTAAGGGAAAACTAGGAGAAAAAATAATACACTCAAGTATGTTAAAAACAGGTCGTTTTTATATGACCTAGCTATTACTTGCGATTTTGTCCATGTGAAATAAAATAATGAATAAATGATTTTTCTAACGGTGAAAGGATTTTTAAATTCTGTCCAGTAGTTTTTGTGTTATTTCAATAAATACAAAAATTCACTTTTTTCTCTTTATATATCAGTTTAGATAAGGCAGCGAAATATCCTGTGGATACCTAAATTCGCGGAAAAAGCGAGACAAGATGCGTTACCTGCCCTTAGTCGATAGAGAAGACGCACATAAAGAGAACATTCCCCCATCCCTTCCTATGCGATATCGTCGAATCCACTTTCCCTTCCCATCTTTTCCTTGTAACAATAGTATTAGAAAGGAAAGGAAATAAAAGAATGCGAAAATAATAAAGCGGACTCTACCACTTTCAAAACAATTAAAAAGTTACTTTTGACATCATTGAAGCGCTAGATGGCGCTGACAGACAAACTTTTTTCCGCTTTCCCGCTAAAAGTGCTGAAACTTTGGTAAACAAAGTAATTTCATTATTATTTTTAGTAGTATTGTAAACAATTTATACATTACAAGGGCTTTGTTCTGACGTTGTTAGATTATTATAATGTAGCAATCTTAATTATATTGAGCAAGAAATTTATTTTTACGGAGTCGCAAAAATATTTCTCTCTTCACCCTTTGTGCCCTAAAAGTTACTCATGTAAAAATAAATAACAGATCAGCTAATAAACTGTGGTAGAGCCCGCTTTAACATCTTCGTACTATAGGGTCGGCTCCAGCAATACCACGACCACACAGAAGACAGGCGTGAAGTGGGAGTAATTCCGCGTACAGTCTGATGATTCTGAAGGTCCAACTTTAGGACCTTTCCTTTCCCATCCTTTTTCTTATAATTTAAAGACGGGAAGGGAACGTGGACAGGACAGATGTATAGGAAGGGGGATGTCTCCGTCGATTAAGGGTCGTTAACATTTTTATTTTACGACTCTGGATGTCCTCTTTGACTTTTTTTTTATAATATAAGGTGGCAAACGAGCAAGCGGCCACCTGAATCCCCCGAAATGGAGAGCAACCGCTGCCCATAAACATCCGCAATTGCAGATGCGTTGCCTACTATTAATCGACGGAGGAGGAGACGCACATAAAGAGAACATTTTCCCTTCCTATGCGTCTCCTCCACCGTCAAATCCACTTTTCCTTCCCATCTTTTCCTCTTAAGAAAAGGGTGGAAAGCGAAAGAGACTAAAATTAGGCCTCCGGCACCACACTCATCAGACGAAACGCGGAATTGCTTCCACTTCACGCCTGTTTTCTGTGTGGTCGTGGTATTGCACCGGGCGAGCCGGCCCATTCGTGCAAAGATGTTAAAGCGGGCACTACCACTGTTTAAACTGACTTATCTGTACATCAGCGAAAGACTGTATGTTTTTTAAATTCTTAACAATATGTGAATATTATCCTAAATACATTAAAGGTCATAGATGAGTCGCGGTACTTTACACTGCGGCTGGATGACTGGCCGCTAGGGATATATAAGCTGTGGCAGCAACACGGTGCATCAGTGTTCTGCCCGCCAACAACACGGTACGTTCAGAAATTGATGTTTTTAATTTCTTTTTTTTAATTATTGAAGAGAGTTATTTATTTTGTCTATGATTTTTTAATTATTAAATTAAAAATGTAGCTGTATTTGTAGCAATTTATTTATTTTTAACTGTGTATGTTATTTAATTTTTTATATGTTTGTATTTTTTATTGTAGGAATAAAAAATGAGTTTTGCGAAAAGTTTCGCTGCGCTCGCAGCTCTTGCTGCTATGTGTAAGTTTGTTTTTTTATAACTATTTAACTAAAAATAATTCCTATGGCAACCATTTCTTTTGCGATTTTGATCGCGCAAATGTGCGATTATAGATTGTTTCGCAGCCAATACAACTGTTTAGTTGTACAACTAAAAATCGAGTAGTGTACCTCTATATAAGCTCGTAGGAATCAAAGCGAGACTAAACAGTTATGCGATAGTTTAATCAAAGGTCAAAACTTACGTTCAATTACCCGCTAAAGTAATAGCTCTTTTTTCTAGCATAAACAACATTTCTCTCACCTTTGTTACTACATACAAATTGATTTAATATTTGCTTATTACCTGTGACTTAGTTACCGTATTTATTCAGGTGCCTCCGTGCCTGTGGAGGAGGGCCCTATCTTGTCGGAGGCACCGGCCGAGGTCCTGTACTCGTTGTCGGACCCTTCACAGCAACTTAGGTTGCCGTGCAGCGTCACTGGCCGCTCGCAGAATGTCCAGTAAGTAATACACATTAGTTTCAAATCTCACCAAAACCAACCATTACAATCGGCGCCAAATGGCGAAAATCAAATAAGTACAAAATACCAAGACATAGCCTGTCTATATTTAGAGATGTCACAGATTGTGAGTCTAAAGTTAAGACGTGTGAATCAGCTCTTAACCGGTTCAAAAGATCACATCACATAGCAAATGATTGAGCTGTGGCTCAATAACTAAATTAGCAGCTCACGGCGCTACGTAATGTACTATAACTCTAAGAGCTGCAATGAACTGACCTGTAACTTACGCAAATCATACTAATATTATAAATGCAAAAGTTTAGATCGATGAATGGATGTTTATTAGTGTTTGTAGCCTAAACGGCTTAACGGATTCCGATTAAATTTGATATAGATGTAGGAGATAGTCTGGAATAACACATAAGTCTACTACAGTCACTACATAAGTCACTATTGTTTCTTAATTCCACGAGGACGAAGTCGCGGAGTGATCTGTTGCTGGTTCCCTGATCTACTCATATGCGAACCGATCTGCAGATCAATTTCCGTTGAGTTAATATTTTAACTTTTACAGTTTCACATGGCAGAAGGACGGCAAACCTTTCGACTGGGCTAAACACGGCAACGTCGTTAAAACAGACAACGAAGGGACGATCGTCTTCTTAAAACCAAAAGACGGCGACGAAGGTCATTACCAATGCTTCGCAACATCCGACGCAGGAGTCGCCAGCACAAGGATGATAACAGTTAAAAAAGCCTACATAAATGTACCTAAAGTTACCGTCCAGAGACACAAGCCGATCGATGGCTCACCTTTCAAATTAGTCTGTCCCATCCCTGAATCTTACCCTAAACCGACAATCGAATGGAGATTGCAGTTAGAAAGTGATCCTAAAGTATCGAACGAAGTCGCCAATGCTCGTTACACTGTTGCACCTGACGGTACTTTGTACATATCTAGTGTAGAAAAATCTGATACTTACGATAACTTCAAATACGTCTGTCTCGCTTCTTCTCCCGCGGTTACGAAGCCGGTTGTCCTCGCCGAACATTATATTGAAGGTCTGGAACCGAACAAGGGACATGATTACAGCAAAGTTGTACCACAATATTTGAATCAGAACCAAACGCTGAAATTCGGCGAGCGTACATACCTGTTCTGCATATTTGGCGGCAAGTAAGTATCTCTTTTTATAAAAGGCCAGTATTCGAATATCATTCGATCTTTAAATCCAAATAAATATTTATTAAAACTAATTTTAAATACGTTTTCACTTTAACAATTATTATTTACATAAAACAGTAATTTTTGTAAAAAAAAAAGGTATTTTCACATTTCCGAACTTTATTGCAACCTAAATTCCAATCGTATCTAAAACCATAAACAAAGTATTCCTCGTTTGATAGCTGTGACGCCATTTTGTTTTTGTTTAAATCACAGATAATGGAACAGATAAGCTATGACCTTGCATACGCGATCGAAATAATAAACTACATGTTGTTTTCCTAAGTTTTCGCTATAGATATGTTAATTTGCTATTCCTATGCAAATTATTGCACATTATGTCACTGTATGTTTGTATTTTATTTATGAGTCATTAATTAATAGATAACGTGCGAGAAATAAATACAAATGTGCTTAGAATATATTAATTGTTAGTCTAATTAAAAGTTATCTGTAAGATTAACCGTGATCTGAGTCACTAAGTAAACACTAACGGCAGAATACTGAAACTACATTTTGATATGTAACAACGTTTTGAAATAAAGTCACACTGGAATTTTGAAAGTCAGATTATAAAAGCGCTAACGAAGCCAAGTGTTTGAGGTTCGTTTCAAAATCGATAGTTTGTCTCATGGGTTTAATCAGAGACTACGTTTTTAGAGTTTTTTTAAAATTAAAATGTACAAAAAAACACATAAAAGCAAATAAGGCTTGAGTTAGACATGAATAGAACCCGTGTTGATAAATAAAACGCCTTATTTATTACAATAATAATCACTATTTCGTATTCTAATAATTTGTATGACAGTCCTCTAGCGCATCCCGATTGGTTCAAAGACGGACAAGATGTGAACAACTCGCCACAAGACCGTGTGACCAGGTACAACAAGAGCAAAGGGAAGCGCCTCCTCATCAGAGATGTATGGCTCGCCGACGAGGGCGCCTACGTCTGCAAAGCTGACAATGAGAAGAGCACACCCAAAGAACACACTTTCTATGTAACTGTTGTCAGTGAGTATTGAAAGTTTTGATTGATTGGCGCTAGTGTCGACTTTGATAGGGAAGGGAACTTATTTTATCGATATCAATTAAAATTTTGATTGCATTTTAAATTATTCCGGCTTAATATTTTCAAAGCATTTAATTGTTAAAACTTTCATGAGATATTATTATAAGTTTAAGAACAAATAACGCTAGGTATTAAGACAGTTATCCCTTGAATTCCGTTTGAGAAAGACAAGGATATGTTCCTAGTGTTTTGCAGTTGAAGACTATATATAAAAATATTTATACTTATTCCCAGGTTCCCCATCATTCGACAAGAAACCTCCCACATATATCGCTGCTAAGGAAGGTGAAAAGGTCACTATACCTTGCTCCGTCTTAGCGGTACCTACAGCTTCGATATCCTGGACATACAACGGCCATGCTCTCAACAGAAATGGCGTTACTTTCAACCAATCTAATGAAAATAACCGCACGGTCTCCGATGTCCATATCGCCAGCGTGAAGAAAGCTGACGCTGGGTACTACGGATGTAACGGAATTAACCAACATGGCGATGTTTACGCTGAAACTTTGTTACGCGTCGCTTAAAATTCGATAAAACATTGGGAGTAATAAAGCATTGTATAAATATTTGACTATAAATTACTAAAAGATCGATAACTGAAGAAGAACTTTCAAGGGTCCATCCCTAGTAATATTTTCCTGTTTTAGTCCCATTTATTGTCTGTGGTAATTTTTGGTTTGTTACTCCCTAATATTTATGTATTGAAATGTGATAATTTGTGACCATTTTTATGTATTTGAAAAATTCTAATGAAGTATTTTGTATAATAAAATGTTTTCTTTATTTTAACTGTTGTTCTCTTAAAAAATAGCCACACTGGTAGCACACAATACTATATCTATAGTACTTAGGCAATAAGGCCTAGGTATAAGGCAATTAATTTTATATTTAACCAATAGATTTAAAACTACTGGGCCTCTTTTAAAAATTATTTTGCCATCTGCCTACATTTTTATTTTGGAAATCAAGCTAATATTTTATAATTATTTGCATTTTATAGTCAAAGAAACAAAAAAGCGACGCACTATTCAAATATAACCTCATTAATTCTAGACATATGCGTCGTAAAAATATGGCTGCCTCAAGGTCAAACAATAACTACCTTGTTTATTACTGGATCTCTGTCTAGCGGGATTACGGACTTCCCCTGGGATGATCTTTGTTTATTTCTATCATAGCCCATAATGAAATAATAGTAGTTTATTCAATAAATACTAAAAATTGGCCGTTATATTGAGTTGTTTTTCGCGCCAACGTCCTTTGAAGTGACCATAGACGATATAATTTTTTTATTGACGTATAAACAATAATGTGACCTACAATCGTGGAGCCTAAAATTGTGGACCGATTTGGAGGTAATTATTTTTTCTAATATTACCCGCTGTTTTAACCAAATATTAAAAATATTTAGTTTTAGTGTGAACCTTGCGTTCTTGCTATTGTCCATGTAAACTTAAATATAGAAACGATAGAAAACTATTGATAACAATTTTCAATAGAACTAGAAAATAGCATCAATTTCCTGTTAATTATTTACATTCAATTTTAAACTATAATCCAATGAAGCAAGGTTTGAAATAGCTTCGCAACAAGTTCAATACACTTTGCTTATCTTTATAGAGAATAGAACAGTCATACAAAAATGCGAAGATTCTTAGAACATATCTATTATGCCACTTAAGACTTGACAATAGTCATACATTGGCGTAAAAGAATTAAAAATTACTAATGTTTAATTAAAAGATTATTATTACCAAAGGCAATCTATGGTTTCAAAAAAATATTTGCAGAATTGAAATAAATGAATAAAAAAAATTTTTTCATTGGATAAATTGTAGAAATCCGATACGGTCGTATTTGCAAACAAGCTATAATTGAAAACACCAATTTTACTTTATTTTTAGATTTATTGACTTATAAATTTGAAATTAATTAAATTTGACTATTGTTTGTTAATTTTTTGGTTATATTTAGACTTTTCGATCTGCTGATTTGAAAGAACAAGGAAACTCCTTGCAGGGCTTGCTGGGCATAAGTCTAGGAACCTTGCAACCTTCTTTGGGGCAAACCAATTTATTTTTCTTCTCCTTTTTCGTAGTCGGCCATGATGGAATCGGCGCCCATGGCTCATAACTCCTTGCGAAATATACTTGCTCTTCATCCTTCTGTTTTTCTAAATCAGGAACTTTTAGGAGTTTAAAGAATTTAGAAGACGACTCGTTAGACTTCAATCCAAGAGCTGCAGCATGCGACATTGAAGTAGTAGAAATAGTTTGTATTGCGCCAGGATTTACTGGATTATTGGAATAACTCCTTGAGAAATAAGCTTGCTGTATATCCCTTTGTTTCTTTCCTAAATCAGGAACTATGAGATATTTATAAAATTTATAAGACGACTCCTTGGACGTGATGTTAGAGGATGATTCCTTTGACTTTAAACCTAAAGCTTTAGAGTGCGCTATAGAATTGGTAAAAAATGTGCGGATTGCGGAATCTTTTATAAAACTATGGGGACAACTCCGTAGCAAGGGTAAACCAAGTGCGTATTGTAAAATGTTAGATGGATTGAAACCGCAAAGAATCAAGGTGATGGTGTCCTTAAATTTGTTACCAGTGTACATGCCACACGGGTTTTTCGGAGGAGGGCAAGGAGGTGGGGGTTTGCAAGGATCGCACGGGTTGGATTTCACCGGGCAAGGACCTTTCTTGGGCGGAGGGCACGGAGGCTTCTTCGGCGGGGGGCAGGGCATAGCTTTCTTAGGGGGTGCCTCCTTCTTTCGGGGCGGACAAGGTTTAGGCGAGCAAGTCGCAGACCTAGGTCGCAGGTCTAAAGGAGGCAAGCACGTGGATTTGCTAAAAAAAGGACGAGGATCAAATTTTATTTTCTTCTTTTGCATTTCTTGCGCTATTTTATTTCTTTGTCTTACTTGCCGGAGCAACTCGGAGAGGGGAATCTCTTGCCTCTTGGAGGTGCTCAAGTTGTCTTTTCTCGGCCCTAATGGTTCATGAACTGCGGCGGACCTAGATAATGTGGATAGGTAATTCTCATAGCTTTCCTGGGTTCTTTCTTCTAACATCCTCGGGTCCTGCATCCTCCTGCCCATTTTGAACTCTCTCATGTAGGGCGGCATCGTCTTGTCGCGGCGAAATCTTTCGTGTATATCATCCTCGTAAATCATTTGACTCGATATAGAAGTTTCATTGGGGGGCAAAGGCGGCGGCACCGCCATACTGTAAGCTATAAATTCTTGTCTAAGAGGAAACGAGTGTAAACTCAAATCGTGCAAGATATCTTTTTCAATAGACATTTTGAACTCGACATCGAGATGTACAGGATGCAAGTTCTCGGCTTTTAATGTTTTTTCATCTGAATCAGATTCCAGATTCAGATCGTAGCTCCTAATATAGTTCGGCGTTAGGTTAGAGTATTTATCTGCGAAAGTAGTATCCTTGTCCACCTCTGTATAACTATCAAACGGTTGCACGATATGCTCCATTACATCGCATTCTAAATTTTCAACTATCGGATACGTTCCTGATCTTTCAAAGTCTACGGTGCGAGTGCTGAGACATGTATCCATTAGTTTGGCGTCAATTTGCGACGGGGGCACCTTCATCAACTTGCAAGCGATTTCGTCTATCGGCTTCATTTTGTTCATATCGAAACTCTTTTGATGTCGACGGTCCAGCGGCTGCTTGAACAGTTCGCTACCGAACAGTTTCGGCGGCACATCTAGGCCTTCAACTCTAGGCTCCATCTCTACCAATGGGTGTTCAACTATAGTTTCTAACTTATCCTTCTGGCCGTCATCCTTATCTTTAGAGGAAACACGCATCACCAGATCGTTTTCACAACTTAACGTTTTATCATGTACATGTTTGCATTTCTCACACTCATCTTCTGGGGTGGAATCCTTCGAGCCGCCGACTGTACTTTTACCTACTTTTCGCAATTTCTGTAGAGGCACTGTGAACAAAATTAAACGCTAATAAGACAATTCTTTTACATCCGTAATTAGTTAGTTTATCATCATAATAATCAATCTTCTTTTAAAAAAATCTTTATTGTAAATTGAAAATTTTGACAAAAGAATCTTTTTTCATTTTAATTAAAAATTTAGACTTCTCCAAGTCAAGGAGCTTTCCACGAAATATTAATTATTCAGAAACATTGCCAAGCGATATCCTTAAACCTTCTACCAGCAATTCCCAAAGTGGTCCAGGTAGACTCCCTGGGGGCAGGAGACCCTACAGGCGTCTACATCCGCTAGATTTAAAATTAGGGATCTACAAGTTATTGGTCCACGGAAATTCAGTTTACTATACTGAAGATTCACTTTTATGTGAACAGAAGATTGGAAAGCAAGGACCGGAAAAGGATTCAGGTTAGAGACCCAGTCCGGGTGCTTCTAGAACCCAAGCTGACCTGCATCGTAGTCCCATCTAGTTACGTATCGTATCTAGAAGTATCGTTTAAGAATTGCAGCCCACCAGACAAAACAGTCCGTGTTTTGGAATTTTTTGACGGAACAAGTGAGTTTTTTTCTCGCAGAAGGTCCCAAGTCCCGATGCGTTCCTTTGGAGATCTCGGGACCCTCGCAGGCGCCCTTAAAGATGACCACCTAGGATTTTTATTGAGTGGAAATCTTACTTAATTTGGTCTTTCCCTTAAAGGCAAGGTATTTGAAAATAAATCACTCTCCCAACATAAGTGGGAATGAGATCAAAAATTACGAAAGTGGTCTATGACCAAAAAATGACAAAAAATGGTTATCTCTAACTCTGAAATGTATTGAAAAAACTAAAAAGATACTTACATTTGTCTAACTTCAATAAAGCCAGACCTACATCTTTGGTTCTATTTCTAAGATTCATAATGAACGGCAACGTTTTCTGCATGTATTATTTTTATTTATTTAAGGGCACCGAATAAAATATAAATTGTATAAATTTTGAAATAAATAGTTCTACATTTTCCGGAGTTGGGTTAAAAAAAACGTTTTTTCTATATTTCTTTAATTTCTTCCATTGTGATCTGTTACATTATTCTTTTGTTACTTCTTTCATAAATAAATATCGTCATTTTCTCTATTTGTTGTTAGTCGCCAGTCAGGTTTATAGTGCCTTCAATTCTAATGCACGGTTCACACTGGGCCAGGACAGTTAGTAGCTCTGAATAACTGAACTGTCAATCAACCGGCACAGTGTAAACGCTTTCTGAAGTCAGTAACTCCTAACTATCTACGACTGGTCATTGCAACTAACGTCAGTGGTTTCTAACAATCTACGCAACTACGCAAAAATCTATGCAACCAACCAACTGTACTGGAAAAGTGTAAACCGGACATAAGTTTCAGTTTGATTGGTTACTGAGATTTCTTAGTATTAATTTATTATTTTAAATTAGTTTTAGAGCCAATTTCTTATGTTTCTGTGTTATGCATACAAATAAGTCTACGATGAAATTAAATTTGTAATTTGACCAAGATATTAATCTCTTATCACTCTCATTTTGTGTATCAAGAACTAGGTGTTCCCGTGCGGCTTATCCGCATGATATTGTAAAAACCTTAATTCATTGTTTTTATTCCGATTACCGTAGTATTCTTGGTCAAGCTATATTTTTATCCCTCGTATTTCATCTAAATCGATATTTTGTCGATACAATGATAATTCCTTAATCACGATTTAAGAAAATTATTGTATTTTAAGTACTTTTTTGTAAAAATTATCGATGATTATTTAATCGTGGTTGTTTATTACGTTTTACTTCATTTAACTACATTGTATAATTATAAATATTTCTTGGATGAAACGTTAAATGTCCATTGCCGATGATTACAGAAATTGATTATTCTTTTGTATATGTACTCTTTGTTCTTTAGAACGAAACGTCATTCCAGATGCGAGAAAATAACAAAGATGGCTGAAGAACAGGTGAGTATCAAAATATTGTATTTTATATTACATTTTAACAGAATTAAGCACATATTTATAAAACAACATTTGCACAATAATCTTGTAATAAATTTCTCTTAATTTAAAAGTTAACACTTTCATACGATCTATGTTTTATCGTTATAAATATTTGGATACTTTGTACCGCGTATTGCAGTCTTCAATTTAAGTTTTTCGATAGTAATATGTTTTTAACGTACAATCAACTTAATGTTTAATCGAATCGAATAAACGAAAGAAACGTAAGCAGCGTTAAAATACCGGCTTTTTGGTTATGATCCAGTGTTGACAACGATATACCCTTGAAACTTGCCGTCATGTGTCGCATTTTCGTCATAAATCAAATCGCTGAAACTGTCTCATTATGAAATATGTATCAAATCTTGAACTGATATTATTATAGAAATTACATATATAGATAATAATTCAAAGTTTTGAAAAATAAATTGATATTGAATGCATCACAATTTGAATTTGTATGTGGACATCTTATTTTGTATATTACAACCTTATAACTACCTAAATTAAGTCTACATACACCTTTATTTCTATTAGAAACTATTGATAGATCTGAGAAATGTAATAGTCATTTCAAATAAAATAGTGAGGATTTTTATTATCATTTCTAGTTGGTAACATCCTAGTAGATATCAAAGATATTACATACAAAAATAAAACCATACTAAATGGAGCTTGCGAAGTAATACTAGCTTTCGCCCGCAACTCCGTCCGCGTGGTATTTAAAAAAATAGCCTATGTGTTCTTCCAGACTATCCTCTACATGCATGAAAAATTTCTTTGAGATCTATAGATCCCTTGAGATCCCACCGGAGGGTCAAAGGCAAGCTGATGATAATTATATTCTTCTAAATGTAACCATATTTGCATAATGTTGCCTGGTACTAATTTATACTAATATAAAGAGGAAAGATTTTTATTTTTGTATGTATTGAAATGACTCACAAACTACTGGGTCTATTTTAAAAGTTCTTTCACCGTTATAATGGTAATTTTTCTGCCAGTAACATGGACTAGTATTTTATATTATTTTTAAATAACTCGGACGGAGTCGCGAGCAACAGCTAGTAACTTATTAAGCTGTAGATGTGCATTTTTCGTATTACACGATGGCAAATAAGTGAGCAGTTACCTGAATTCACCGAAAAGATGAAGCAACCGCTACACATAGACATTCTGCTTGCAGATGTGTTGCCTACCCGTAATCAACAGATGAGGAGATACACATAAAGATATTTCCCCTGCCTATGTTCTGTCAAATCCACTTTGTCTTCCCATCCCTTCCTTATAAGGAAAGAGTGCAAAGGGATAAGGAGTGAAATTAGGCATATGGCAAAAAATCGTAAAGGAGGTTTTAATGTATAATCATTTGTCCAGGAGGTGCGACAGATAGAGCTACTGTGCAAACAGCTGTATGACTCCCAGGATCCTATCATCAGGGCTCAAGCTGAAAAGGCGGTGGTCGCTTTTCAGGTATGTAATGATAACATTTGTAGGATCTCTACTGAACCCTATTTTTTAATGCGAGTAAATTTGACAAGCAAATATCAAATCTTACTAGAACATTATCTTATTATCTAACTAGCTGTTCTCATGTTGCTTCATCTGCATGAAATTATGTAAACTTTATTTTATTGTGTCCATTTGTCAAATTGACAATTGCAAATGTCAAAATAACTACCGTAATAACCTTACTTCCTTAATGTTAACAGCTTGTAGTTTATGGTCCCTTTCCCACGGGAAGGTGTTTCCAATTTATATACCTCATATGTTTAATAGCGTGAAAATATATAGCCTAAAACTGTCATAAGTGTAGGGCTTTTACTTAAAGAAAGTTATTCATAAATATGCTGTGATTGCTGACATCCTACGTCACAAAATATTGTGTGTTTACGCTTTATTATATTAGTATACAAGTCTAGTTAATTTTCCTCTTAAATATCAAATCTTGCAATGTATATGGTTTTTCATTGATTTACAGGAGTCTCCGGACACCCTAAGCAAGTGTCAAGCATTGCTGGAGCGAGCTGACTCCAGCTACTCCCAGTTATTGGCAGCGACTACCCTAGACAAGCTACTCAGCAGGTAAATACACAATAACATACTGTAGATTAGATCCTTTGTTCTTTTCTATGCTATTTTTTTTATTTATAACCTGTTGCTCGCGACTTTATCCATGTGAAATTGAAAATTATAGTCTGCTACTCAGGATAACATAGCTTTTTATTAGGGTAAGAATTTTTGAAATCGTCCAAGTAATTTTTGACTTGTTTCAATACATACATACACAAATACAAATCTTTCCTCTTCATAGTATTAGTATAGACTAACTGTTGCTCACGACTTCGTCCATGTGAAATAAAAACATGTAGCCTACTCAGTGGTAAAATAGCTTCTTTTTAGTGTAAAAAACTTAGAAATCGTCCAAGTAGTTTTTGAGTTATTTTAATACATACAAAAATACAAATTGTTGGACGGTTACTTTCTCTCGTCCGGGCTCTGGAGGTGTGGGGCTATTGAAACACTTTCTTCTAGTTAATCATCATTATATTTAAAATATCTGAACCATATTTTATACAAAGTCTATTTGTCCTACAATGTTACTTGTTCCGTGTCGAGATGTGAAGTCTTTGTATATTTCATCAAATGTAGAATTCTTAATAATTTAAATTATATATTATTCTAATATAAAAAAACCATCCTTAGTGTGTACAGTGTTGCCTGCCAGTATACAAACATATAAAAACTCCAACACAAATGGTTCCACTTTATAATATTTGTATAGATAAGCTATGATATGTCTTGTGACACTTTTTTATATTGCCAAGGTAGTGACATGTCTAAAATTAGTTTAATTTATACCCTGTCTGATGACTTGTAGGTCTATAAATAATAAACCGTTAACTCTTAAGCATTAGGGACCCTTAAGACCATTGGTGATTAGGGTGGGGACCCTGATCGTTCCATGCCATGGTCCTCTGTTGGCATAAGGCTGCGGAACATCAGGCAATATCCTATATTGTGTCGTAAAGTGCCGAAGGTTCTAGTGAGTTCCACGGAGATCCCAAAACACCCTTCTATTGCACTAGAGGCTGGCCACCGAGGGGTGTTTATTGGGTACAAACAACAGAAAACCCTGTCTTCACCCTAGGAAGGGTATCTTTTTGAAGATTTCCCCCTGATACAAGAAAAAGGTGTATAAATAATGCAATGTGTTATTTTCAGATCAACGACCAGTCTGTCGGTGCAGCAGAGATTAGATATTCGAAATTATGTTCTCAACTATCTCGCTACAAGACCTAAACTGGCAACTTTCGTTGTACAGGTTAGTTGCTTTTTATTGTATACTAGCTGTTCCCGTCCGGCTTCATCCGCTTGAAATTATAAAAAAAATATTTTATTGTTTGTATTTGTCAATTTATCAATAGCAAATGTCAAAATGACATGACATGACAAACCTTGGCAATCTAGCTTTCATGATGTTGGCAGCAACTTATGGTCTCTTTCCCACATAAGGATTTTATCAAAAATATTTACCCCCTAATTCTAATGGCATAAAAACATACAGCCTAAAGAGTGACGTAAGTGTAGGGCTTTTTTATTAAAGAAAGGTATATTCAAAAATATGCTGCAATTGCTGACATGTTAGGCAACAAAGAAGTGTGTGTTCTTCTTCTTCTTCTTTTAATGTTTAGTGGACCCCATCGTTATTTCGATGATTTCGCCAACGTCAAGGTTGAAGATAATTGAAAGTATA